GGCCGGCTAAAATAACTGGATGGCCTACCTGCCTGTCAGCCTTCCATCTGTGCACAAACTTATCTCGTGCCCTCATTGGTCATGTTCGCGTTCGTGTGTGTTGGAGGAGGGGCTCTGTAAGGAAGTCTGAAGGAAGGGGCAGATTTTTTTCGGTTGCGTACTTTCAAATTCTAGCGCACTCGAGCTGGTTTCTCCATTCTGACCTTACCTTTACCTTTTAATAAATGCAGGCACATTTTTAGCGCCTATTCATACTAAATCAGTTGTCCCTCCCCCTGGTGCCAGGTCCAACAGATCCATCTTTAGGCTCAGCAGCCCTGTCCCCCCATAATGCTGAACCTGAACCAGCTTTTCTCCCAACTGAAGGAGGTGAGCAGCATTATGTTGAATGAAGGGAGACTGGAATACAATATATATATATATATATATCAAAACAAAAAGCTAACATCTAATTTAAATTATACATTTCAAACACAGTATTTTCCCACATAGCCAATGATCTATACAAAAAAACAAACTGCTTTTAGTCTATTTAGGATGATGGACAGTTTGAAGCGTTGAGTGATCAATCTGTATTAGGTAAACAAAATGTTAATCACCGACATTTTGGTTATGATATTAATTACTAACTAATGTTATTATATTAAAGCAGGGGTGGGGAACCTCTGGCCCCCGGGCCGTATACGGACCGCTAGACCATTTGGTACGGCCCTCGAGGTAATTTATAAACAAAGTGGCCTGTGCCTGGTGGTGGGGCCCAATGTGATATATTTTCATGGGGCCCAAAATCCCTGGCGGCGCCCCTGAGGGCTGGTTGTTAGTTTAAGGAACGTTTTTTATACGATTCTACCAAGAAGAAAACTATTAAAACATAAAGGTAACAGGTATTATTTTTATTTTAAACATAGTCTTCAAGACCATGTACTCTAGAAAAAGGTTGGTATTTTTTCCTCATGTTGGCGGTTTTTGTATTTTCAGGTGGCAGTCCCCATAAAGGAGAGTTTTCCAGGTGCAGCATTCTGTCAGTGGACTCCAGTATATCCATCCCGTTGAGCCTGGACAGTCTCGGTGAGAGTGAACGCAGACTGGCTCCCTCCTCCCTGCCGGATAAAGACTCCTACCCTTCCAGCCCGCAACAGCACATGGACAGCAGCTTAACCAGCAGCCAGAACACCATAACACTCGGAGACAGGTACGACTCTGACCTCTCCTTAGCTACCAAGAGTACGGATTCAGACTTGGAGTCTCCCTTGCAAACGAGCCGAAGTTTGGAGCAAAGCGCAGAAGATTCCATGGTTAGCTCTAAAGCCTTGATGCAAATCCGTAAACTCCTCTCTCAGGCGGAGAACATGGTGTCTTCTGGGTCTTCTGTAGATTCCTCTGCCCCCACTGCAGTGCCCCGTTTGCTCTCTGATGATAACATCTTTCTCTCACTGAAGAAGACACCCAGCACCCTCCAGGACTCTTCCTCCTCAGTTACTGAGGATCCCAGAGCTCGATTCTCCCCGCTGTGGGCCAGATCTGCATCCGACTCCATGCTGACCTCAGAGAGACTGAGAGAAAACTCTATTGGTCGAGAGACTTCGTCCACACAAGCTCTTACTTCCACAGGTGCGTACAGGAGGCCACAGGATGTTGGTGGAGGCGCAGGATCCCTCGTCCTCTCCCAATCAGCCCGACGTGCAGAGCCTGAGGGCTGCAGCGCTGCCCCCGTCGACAACACCGTCCCACCACAACCACCTTCACCAGCTCTGAGTATACAGCTCACCTCTACTGCTACAGACACAGAGGAGGAAATGCAGGCTTCTCTGGAAGGTCCTATACAGAGCAGCTCCCCCCCGCCTGCTCTGGAGAACAGCGATCAGGGAGTGATGAGCGACGGCAGCAGTGAGAGCTTGCTGGCGGTCCGAGTGGCGCAGTTACTGCAGAATGAGTCTCCGGCCACCATGGTGTCCAGTACAGCCAGCATCACTGACAATGAGGAGAGCAAAGCTTTGGGTAAGAGGATTCATACGTTGTTAATCTAGAGGGAAACCCGTTCATAGTGAGAAGATTTTTTTTTATATCCAAATAAACTTTTCGCAATAATACAATCTTACGTAAATATAACCAATCTTCTGCAGAAAATACCACTGTTACTGTCACACCATTCCCCATG